TACTAATTTAACAGAGGAAAATATTACCGCATTACGACAAATCATAGAAAATTATGCACATCAAAGTTTGAGAACTATTTGTATGGGGTATTGTGATTTCAATGAATGGCCCCCAGTGGAATGAATGTTGTAGATAGAGAAATTACATTTGACGACTTAGTTAAAAATGTTATATTGCTAGGAATTGTCGGTATCGAGGATCCATTGAGAGATGGAGTACGTGAAGCCGTGCAAGATTGTAATAGAGCAGGTGTAAAAGTTCGTATGGTCACTGGTGACAACATCATGACAGCTAAATCAATCGCTACGCAATGCGGGATTTATACTGATGGTATTGTGATTGAAGGTCATGAGTTTCGTAATTTATTACCGGATGAAATGAATACTGTGGTACCTAATTTGCAAGTTTTGGCGAGATCTAGTCCACAAGATAAAAAAATTTTGGTAGAAAAACTTCGAGAATTAGGAGAAGTTGTCGCGGTAACAGGTGATGGTACAAATGATGGACCTGCATTGAAAGCAGCAGATGTAGGATTTTCTATAGGTATAGCAGGTACAGAAGTTGCAAAGGAAGTGTCCTCGATTGTATTGATGGATGATAATTTTTCAAGTATTGTGAAAGCAATTATGTGGGGACGTAGTGTAAATGATTCAGTTAAAAAATTCTTACAATTTCAACTTACAGTGAATTTGACGGCTGTACTATTAACATTTATATCGGCAGTTTCTAGTGATCAACAAGAAGCGATATTATCGGCGGTACAATTATTATGGATTAATCTAATAATGAATACACTCGCTGCTTTAGCATTGGCCACTGATCCACCGACACCTGATTTATTAAAACGTAAACCCGAAGCTAGATCAGCATCATTGATTTCTTTAGATATGTGGAAAATGATACTTGGACAATGTGCAGTTCAATTAATAGTTACGTTGATTCTGTTGTACTGTGGGAATGATATATTGCATTACGATACACCCGAAGAAAGGTCTAGTTTACCAACGATAATTTTTAATACTTTCGTTTTCCTTCAAATATTCAATGAAATTAAGTTAAGTTATCGTCCAATTAATTATAGTTACTTATAAAATGATTTTTTATATTTTAACGAGATAATTTTTTCGATTTTTAACAGTTCTCGACGATTAAATGATAAGCTCAATATCTTGAAGGGTGCATTTTCCAACAA